CCACTTACTATCTTCAGAATCTGCAGTGTCATGTTCCCCGATCGGTCCAGTAGAAAATGGGAAGTCTAAAGGCAAAGCCATCTTGGTTGAGTCCTCAGGATCACCGATTGTTTACACTCGAAGAAATGTGGGCATTTGTATTCAGGAACCAGAAGAAGGCATGGTGGATTCAATCCCCAAAAACGCCCAAGGAGATAGGGTGGAGGAAGCCAACCCCAAGTGGCCCCAGTCTGATAAATGAATGTTTTTGCGTGGAATTGTCAAGGTGTGAGGAGTCCCTTGACATTCCAAACGCTTAAAACTCATCGCTGTTTAGCTAAATCTTTCCTTTTCCTAAGTGAGACAATGTCTTCAAGAAGTACGGTGTCTTCTTTTATTTCCTCGTTAGGATTTTCGGACTGTCACATTGTTGATCCTTCCGGTATGTCGGGAGGTTTAGTTTTTGCTTGGCCACGTTCGGCCTCAGTGTCGGTTATTGGGTCTACCCCTTTTTTTGTTGCAATTTCCATCATTAATAATAACTCCTCTCTCTACGGTGCGTGTCCTCGTTTTGTTTTGATTGGAGTTTATCTCTCGTATGTCATCTCGAAAAGGCAAGAACAATTAGAGAAATTAAAACGCTTCTCCTTCAGCGTCTCTGATCCATACCTAATTATTGGGGATGTCAACTGCTCCCTGTATCCATCGGATAAACTAGGAGGTGCAACGTGGAGAACGGACAAAGCCAGTCCCTTATGGGATTTCCTTCACCAAACTGGCCTCTTTGAACCACCTTTCCAAGGACCCAAATACACTTGGACGAATCGAGGCAGAAATGGGATTACAATTGAGCAAAGAATTGATAGAGTCTTTGTATCCCCCATCTGGATGAACTTTTGGCCGAACTCGTCAGTGTACCATCTCTCTGACAAAGGTTCAGATCATCGACTACTTCGCTTGACCACTAGTGTCCTAGCTCCCCATTTTAAAAGGTTATTTAGATTCGATATCCGTTGGACCTCAATGCCAGAAGCAGAACTACTTATAAATTACGTTTGGAAATCCCAAGTGGCTGGGTCAGTTCAGTATTGCCTGTTCTCTAAACTGTTGCGGGTAAGACACACTCTAGTCGAGTGGTGTAAAGGAGGGCAATCTAACTCAGCCAGGTTGATTAAGGACCTCAATTCTGCTTTGGAAAAGGCAAGGACTGCACGAATGGTAGATTGGAACCTGGTACGGTCCTTGGAAGAAGACCTGTCCATCCAATATAAAAGAGAAGAGATCTATTGGCAACAGAAATCTCGTACTAATTGGTTAAAAGTGGGAGACAAAAATACTCCATATTTCCACCTAGTGGCCTCGACAAGACGCCTCAACAATGTAATATGGGGACTTGAGGACGAAAGAGGACAGTGGTGTACCTCCGAAGTAGATAAATGTGGCATAGCTGAAAGATATTATCGAGGGCTTTTTCAAAGCCAGAGTCCGAGCGACATAAATCTGTCCAACCTTGTTTTCACAAACTACCTCACAGAAGATCAGAACCACGGGTTGATAGTTCCCATCTCTGTTGAGGAAATCAGAAAGGTGGTATTCAGTATGGGGAAAACGCAAGCCCCAGGTCCTGATGGATTCACAGCTGGTTTCTTTCAACACTATTGGCCCATGGTTGGACAAGATGTCACTCAGGCAGTCCTAACATTCTTTCATACGGGAAAGCTGTTGAGAAGTTTTAATAGAACATGGATCTCCTTAGTGCCAAAAGGGTCGGAAGTTCGTTCTATGAAAAATCTCAGACCGATTAGCCTCTGTCAAGTGGTATATAAAATCATTGCCAAGATACTGGCCAACCGGCTTAGTAAAGTCTTGCCCTCGATCATCTCTCAATCTCAAAATGGCTTCATCAAAGATCGTCAGATTGTAGATAATATCATGATCAGTCATGAGATCTCTCATCATATTAAAACTCTTTACTCTGGTTCGAAGTGTTGGATGGCGTTAAAACTCGATATGGAAAAAGCCTATGATCGAATTGAGTGGTCATTTCTTTTTGAAATGATGAAGGAAATTGGGTTCAATGGTCAGTTCATCTCCTGGATCCAGGAATGTGTCACTACTGTCTCCTATTCCATTCTAGTTAACGGATCCCCATCCAATTACTTCAGACCTATGAGAGGTCTTCGACAAGGTGACCCCCTTTCCTCTTTATTATTCGCCATTTGCACGGAAGGCTTCTCTGCAATGATAAATCAAGCCGTAACCTTGGGTTTCTTGGAAGGAATACGGATTCGCCAGGCCTGTCCAATGGTCTCCCATCTCTTTTTCGCAGATGATTCTTTCCTATTCGTAGAGGCTTCTAGTGAATCCTGCTCGAACCTATTGTCCTTGTTCCAAGGATACGAAAGAGTAAGTGGTCAAAAGGTTAATCTCTCCAAATCAGCAGTTCTTTTTAGTAAAAATACTAAGAGTGAAGATGCTAGTTACTGGGGTGCACAGTTGGGAGTCGGGGCAATAGGAGAACAAGACTCTTATCTAGGGCTCCCTTCCCTGATCCCAAGAACCAAAAAGGACACTTTTCTTTATATCGAGGAAAAGGTTGGGAAGAAATTGCAAGGCTGGAAACAACGTACCTTGTCCAAAGCGGGCAAAGATATCTTAATCAGAGCCTCTGCCACCAATATACCAGTTCATGGTATGATGTGCTTTAAGTTTCCGGTCACTACGTGTAAACGGCTGAATAGTCTCTTGGCAAGGTTTTGGTGGGGCTCGGCGACGAACTGGGATCACCCTATCCATTGGATATCCTGGAAAGGCCTGGCACAAAGTAAATTCCAAGGAGGTCTAGGATTTAGGGATTTCAGGGCTTTCAATCAAGCTTTATTAGCCAAACTATGCTGGCGTATTTGGTCTGATCCTAACTCGCTCATTAGTCGGTTATATAAAGGAAGATACTTCAATGGAAATACGATTATGGAAGCCACTATTGGTTCTAATCCTTCATGGGGTTGGAGAAGTATTCTGTATGGGAGAGAATTACTTGTGCAAGGCCTACGTTGGCAGATAGGTGATGGCACCAATGTAGAAGCCTTCAAAGATAAGTGGATACTAGCAGATAAACCTTGCCCCCCTGATCTTAAGAGACATGATGATAACTTTTCTCCAAGAGTATCGTATTTCATCACTCAAGATCGACGAGGTTGGCATATCCCTAGGCTAAGGCACTGGTTTAAAGAAAAATCAGTTGAGATGATCCGTAGCATGGTAGTGCCTTTACTTCCACAAGAGGACAAGTTGGTGTGGCACTTCACAAAAACCGGGAAGTATTCAGTTAAAACAGGGTATCATTTAGCTTTGGAAAATATGTTAAGTCTCACTCAGAAAGCGACGGTCACCATCATTGACCCTCCAATATGGAAAAGAACGTGGGCGCTGGATGTCCCACCCAAGCTTAAATTCTTTATGTGGCAATGTTTGAAAGTTATATTGCCAACCATGACGGCCCTTAGATCTCGGGGAATAAATTGCCTAGTTCGATGTCCGGTTTGTTGGGCTGGTGAAGAGAGTATTGAGCATCTTTTCCTCCATTGCCCCCTCGCTCTCCATCTCTGGAATATGGTGGGATTAAGCAGTTTAATTATTTCCGCCCCAACTGATAATTTCGGTATCTGGTGGCGCCATGTTATGAACTCGGAAAACTTCCAAATCCACTATCTCCCCTGCATTTGCCTCCTTTGGAGAATTTGGAAATCTAGAAATAAAGTGGTTTTTGAATTCACTCAACCACTAGCTACATCGCTTGCCCGTCAATTTTTCTTCCAAGTCCATGAATTCTCCTCAGTCAACTCCCAGCCTCTGATTTTCTCGCCCCGCCCGCAGTCGTCTCGCTCTGCCCGTTGGATTGGCCCTCCAGACAATTTTCTCAAGATCAACTTTGATGCTGCAGTTCGTGCGCCTGATTGTTCGTCAGGGCTTGTGGCTCGAGGTCCTGATGGGCAAGTCTTTTTAGCCTCGGGTTTTCTTCATCCCGGTGTTTCGATTCCCTATCTTGCTGAACTTTTGGCTGCTAGGGAGGCCATATCTCTTGTCGTCTCACGAAGTCTTCCCCGTGTCATCATTGAAGGAGATTCTGAAACTGTCATCCATCAACTTGAAAGAGGCTGCTGTGAAGATTCGGTTGGAGGGCCCTTGCTTCGAGATTGCTTCCAGTTGTTGAGGTCCTGTTCCTCGTGTATTCTTTTTAGTGCGGTTCCGAGGACTGCCAACTGGGCTGCCCATAGAGTGGCAAGACAAGCCCTGTTGCTGTCCCCTGTAGAGATAGTGTCCTTCGATTTTGTAGGGTGGCTTTTTTGATCTTGTTTTGGGGCTTTGGGTAGAGGTTTTAACTATTGTTCTTTGACCTTACTTGGAAAAAAAAAAAACATTAATTCGGTTTATTTTTCTTTCGTAACTATAAAATGAACGGGATTAAGGACCAAAGACCGAACCATGTTATATTCAACTCAATGTTGTTCAGTCCAAGCGTTGGTTCGGATGCAAACCAACCCGTTGCACACTCCCTGCTTACAAAAATATAAGATAATTAATGATCTATTTTTCAAGAAGAGTATATATATTAAGTGTTGCAAAAACATGAGAGAAGAATAGTGGTGCCACACGGATGAATTAATTAATGAATTAGTTGCCATATTTTTTAGCGAATGAATGATGCCAAGAGAGAGAGAGAGCCCTAAAAGTTGTGACACTTAATTAGTTTCCCTCCAAGCCACTACACGCCATGTTTTCAGAGATCTTCAGGCACCCAAAACAATACGCATGTCAAGTTTCTTTTTCCCCCCTTTTGACTCCCACATAATTAATAAAATCTCTACCTTCAATGCACATCTCTAATCTCTATAAGAGCAGTAGAGCCCTCTTCCCCATTGGCTTTTTCCTATATTAAGTAGCTACCAGGATTCCTCTCATCATCATCTCTATATATAAACCCGTCTCTTCATACCTTTTCCTTCCCACTTTCCCCGATTATGGAGAGTCCTCCTAACAACAACACTAGCAAGATCAGTAGTAGTAGTAGTAAAGGTAAACGCAGCCCTCCAGGGAACTCGAGATGGAACCCGACGAGTCCCCAGATCAACTTGCTCGAGGGTTTGTACAACCAAGGCCTCCGGACGCCAACTCCGGACCAAATCCAGCAGATCGCCGCCATGCTCAGCGCCTACGGCCACATCGAGGGCAAGAACGTCTTCTACTGGTTCCAGAACCACAAAGCCCGCCAGCGCCAGAAGCTTAAGCAGGACATCCTCGACATCACCTCCACCGCCGCCGCTAATCATCACCACAACAGTCAACTCCCTTTCCTTGGTCAACATCACCATCAGTACTTCCTTCGCAACTCACAGCCTCCTCCAGGTACGTACTAATTTTATATGCATGCATGGGCTACTGTTATTTTGAATGAAAATTTATTCTTCATGAAACTCGTAAGCTCTCTTTTTTTTTTTATTCCACAAATAATCCGAACTTTTTTTTTTTTGTTTTGGGTTGGTGATTAAAATGTTTTTTCCTCCCAGTTATGTGTGGGTCGTACTATGCGCCACAACAACAAGCGGAAGATCAGGTAAGGCTGATGACACGTCAGCAACAACCCAACAACGTTATGGTGGTCCCACCGGGAGGCGGCTCTAAGGGGACGCAGAAGGTTCAAAGTTCCGACAAGATGATAACAAGGACGGTGGCAGCTACCGCCGCCGCCGCCTATCATGACCGCCGCCACAGAGCAGCCGTCTCTGTGTCGGGAAACGACGACGATGATGATTGTGATGATAATAATAACAGTCGTGAAACGCTCCAGCTCTTTCCTCTGCACCCGACTGGCGGTTTGCTGGGAAGGGCTTTGTCTCCGCCGCCATACGACAATAATTCTAGCTCTGTTGGGGAGACTGCTGCTGTAAGCTTCGACGACGACGACAATTCTAGTGCTGGTGTTGGTGTAGGCTGCTGCAGCAGCTTCGACTTCTTCTCCCTCGGGCAGTCTCGTTTTTGTCGGCCACATCGATTTTGATCCTATCCAACGGGATTCAGCTGCTGGATCGATATATATATTCTGCTCTTCTTGTCCTTGTGGGGAAGTTAGTTGAAGATCGACCACTGCCTTCTTTTGGTTATATTGATGATTTTGGGTTGACGTGTACGTGAGAATGAGATAGTAAGCTTGACTGTGTCATCCCTTCTTTCTCATTACCGTCGCTTCAAGATAGAGCACTACTCATCATTTATCACCGTAAACTTTGTTGCTTCAGAACGAATTTATGTTATTTTCATTTTTCAACCTCTTGACCTCTAATGTTTTAGCGTGTGTATGTATGATTTTACCTTAAATTTTGGCAGCTCTTTGGCCTAACAAAATCTTACGAAACAAATCAAATATAAAATGAAGTGGTAGAGAATTTCCAGATGAGATCGATGTCCGATAAACTCCATTACATTCACGTCATTAGCATCGACATTTTGGGTTATAATTAAGTTTATAATCATTTTAGGGGTTAGTTAACTTAAGCCTTTATCCCTCCACGAGAAATCTGCAGAAATATGGACATTTACAGCAAATTAAAAAATGTACCAAACTTTTTTTTAGATTATTACCAAAACGTACAAATTAGTTTCAACAAGTGGGCGCATGATCTTTTTATTTGTTTATTGGTCAATCAAAAATTCCATTAAACTCAACGAATAGCACTTTTGTCCTTTCCTCTTCCCCTGTTCAGAAACCTACTTTTTTCAGAAAGAATTCGCAATCCTGATGACTAAGTCAAATGGGTTTGATATATACTGAGTGCACGTATGGTTGTAGGTTGTGTAGTTAGTCAAGTTAGTCTTTTCGTAGTTTTAATTGTTTAACCTGAATATGATCTGTTGAATTATAAACTAAAATTGAGTAATACTCAATAACCCAGGCGTTACCGACAACGACGTTAAACTTGACTCACTAAAACACAACACTTCTTACAGTTGCCAAGTATAACCACTACAAGGGACTGTAGTAAAGTGGGTTCGGTTTCGAATGTAAAACCGGATCCTAGGTGTACTGGTTACTTGGTGAATATCTATTATCTAGCAACTATGAGTTAAATGGTTGATAGTAAACCAATACTTCCGCAACCATTCAAAATATGGTTGCTGATACCCTACTCTAGTGCAACCATGTATAAAATTGTCGCTGATAGTTCAAAACTTCAGCAACCATTTGTAAGTAGTTGCTGATACATGACTCTCTAGCAACAATGAAGTAAATGGTTGACTCTAGATCATAACTTTAACAACTATCAAGAAAATGGTTGGTGATATTCTACCTGTGAGCAACCATGAATTAAATATATGCTAATAGACCAAAGCATCATCAACCATTTTAGATGATTGATAATACGCATCTCTTGAGCAATCTTAGTAAAATGGTCCGTAGATTCTACCTGGGTAGTTGTTGATATCCTGCGAAAAGCAACTATATAGTTATATTGCGAAAAGTTCTTGACAAGTCTGAAGTCTCGACTAAAGGGTTCCAGACCCTCTCAGTTAGAATATCTGATGGATGACTAACCTTCACCGGAATTAAGCTAGCCGAGGCATTAACACAAGAAACTTCCTCTACTGGATTTCAATTCCAGTATAGAGTAGTGAATCGACTTTTTGACTAAAGCAATCGATTCACTACTTTCAATTAAGGTTGCTCTTTTAACCTATACATATATTATCGTGTACAGAAATTTAATCAGGACTCATGCAATTTTGAATAATGCCTTAATTGAATATAAGATAGTCAATCATCCATGAAAATGGTTTCATACAATAATTCCTAACATACAAGACCAGTGTTCTTCATACCCATATGAGAGGAGAGATTACTCCAAGGAGAAAAGGGCAAACACAAAGCTGAAAGTAGAAATCGTCGTGTGAAAGATGGAATTCTTCTCCAGGTGATGAATCGACACTCTAAGGGTAAAGGATCGAGCTCCAATGCTCTTAGACTACTCCAATCACTTCCCAAGATTGTTCTTCGTCACTTTCTCTCTCTAGGACTCTCTTTTTCTATTTCAAAACTTTGAAAATCAAACCCCTTCTCCAAAACCTGAATTCAGCTTATATATGTTGCAAATTGGCCTTCCACGGTCACATTCCCTAGTCGAGGAATCAAACTATAGTGAGCGGGGATCTTCAAAACGCATCGAGTCCCTTGACTCGCCAAGGGGGAAATCGCAGGTCAGGTCCTCATGTTCCCGATCGGGGAATTTAGACACACTGACCAGGAGGTCTTCTGATCACCTTCCTCGGTCGCCTGCGGAGGATCCCTGATCGGGAATTTAGACACACTGACCAGGAGGCCTTCTGATCACCTTCCTCGATTGCTTGCTGAGGATCCGCGGTCGGGGAATTGATGGCCTGACCGGGGATTTTGACTCTCCAACCCGAAACTCACTCCTTAGACTTCATATTCGATCAAGGTCCTAAAATACGACGTAAAAGCACAACCTAGCGTGAAATTGGTTTAAAATGCGAGTATCGATCCTCAAACACTCTAAAAATAGTGGAAAAAGCATGTGCAAATATCAAGTTATCACGTTTACAGCATAAAGTCTGAAATAAGTTAGGAATCTCTACTAAAGCATACTAAACCCTCTTGAATATACTACCCCGAGGAAGATTATCCTCAGTCGAAATAAAATACCAAGGCAATGCATCAAAACTCACACTACTGGATTGGAATCCAGTATCGAGAAATGAACTTATTCACTATTCGTACAATTGATTCACTACCACCAATTGAAGGCACTCCAACCTAATCAGGTATTCCCTCTCCTAGGTCAAAGCATTAATTGAAGAATGTGATCATGACTCAAACAATTTCATGAACAAAACTTCAATTGGATAGTAGTATCAAGCTTTACAAACCAAAGATCAATCACATTCAATCCTAACACATGAAACTAGGGTTCCTCACACCTAAGTGAAAGAGTGGATTACTCCTCGAGTAGCCTCCTCCACGAAAGGCATTCCAACAGATATTTTATCCAAGCTCGTTCTGGGTCCATGAATTGAGAGAAACAGGAAAAAAGTGTAGAAAGAAGTCATTTTCATGTGGATGATGATGATTTTCTCCAATCGGTCTTCGCTTCGAGGAATGAAACTCAAACTCCAATGGTGGAAGGTTGCTCAAAATCAGCTCCAAGAGTGCCCTCTTTGTCCTTTCTCTCTGTAAAACTCTCTAAACTCATTTTCTTATGTCCAAAGGAGGACCCCTTTCAAAATGGTAGATGAACTCTTTTTATAGTGTCGAGAAAGCAAGTCATGACCTATCTCACAGCTGTGACTCAGGTTGTGAGATGCAAAACTCCCAGTATAAACTAATTTGTCAAACTTCGCTTCAGACCACGATTTTAGATGTCACGGTCTATCTCACGACTTATGTCACGGGCATGACATAGGTCGTGAGACAAGCCATGAAACTCACTAAGCTACCTGGAAAAAATGGGCATCTCACGACTTTGGAAGAAATCTCATGGCTTAGGCTGTAAGATGGCCTCTGGCTCCACTTCTTGGCATGTTTTGATACCCGAGCATCCTAAAACTCGCTCCTAACCACATACTAAAACATGAAATATAACAAAAGGAAAATAACGTGAAATAAGCTACGAAACTACCAAAATCAAGTCAAACAATCAAGGAATGAGGATCCAAACATGTATAAATATGCCATTATCATATGATACCATAAATAATTAAGGGTATTTTGGTAACTGCTGCTCATAAGAGTAATTACCGTCTCCATAAAAAATAGGTCAAAACCCCCTCCTCCCCATCCCCTCAAAATTGATTAATTCCTCTCCCTCGTCGCTATAACCGTAGTAATCAGCCTACCACGCCCTTGCTGTCGTACCGGCTGCCATTGAAACCTTCAATTATATATATATATATATATATATATATATATATGGTGTTGTATTCGGTGCACCCACTTTTTCGGGTGCACTCAGTGCACCCGCCTCATAATTGTCATTCTGACCATGCGATTCATGTCAAAACGGTCTCAATTGTTGCTTATGATATTATGAACAAGAAGCACATGAATTTGAAAAAAATTCATTCAAAATTTACTTTAATTCGAAGGATTTAGGATTTAGGGATTTAGGGTTAGGGTTTAGGTTTACAATTTGGGATTTTGGGTTGGGATTCAAAATTGAATGTTAAGGGGTTAGGGTAATGGATTGATTTGTTATGATTCTATGTCATATCATCATATTATATTGAGAGTAGTAATTAAAGTTCAAAATTTGATGTATTATAGACGCTTTTAGAGTAAGTAAGTGCACCGAAGTAGCCACCATATATATATATATATATACGTCTGACGTACGCCAGTCTAACCATATATATATATATATATATATTTGCCTCCGTCTTATTTATAGTTCAATTCGACATATAACTTGGTTCCGCCGTGACTCACAACCTAAAACCTTGCTCCATTAGCAACACTGCTCCTCCGCACCTACATTGTAGTTTACGGGAGAGTAGAGGTTCCCACAAAGTCCAAATTGAGCGAGCTCTGGTGGCTGCGAAGGAGGGAAAACGACGAAGAGAATCCGGGCGGTGGTGGGTAGGAATGGCAATGGGCAGGTTTGGGGCGGGTTTCTTGGCATACAGACCCGCCCCGTGGCAGGTTGGGTCCAGACCGGGTAATTTATCATGGGTCGCTGGTTGGGGCAGGTCAACCCAATGGGTATGCAGTTTATATGAAAAACATTAGAAATATTCGTTATTTTTACTATAAGACCAAGAAAATAAACAATATTACGATAAATGTAGTTAAATTATTAGAGAAATTGAGGTTTCACTAATTTACAACTTTATTATAGCTAAATTATGATGTAATAAAAGAAAATTCCTAAATAATTTGACTAAGATTACATGTAATTTAGGCAAAAATGGGATCGAGAATTGTGCGGGTCAAAGCAGGTCAGGTCGATAAGAGTATTCATGCCGCCCCGGATGTCTACGGAGCGAGTCGGACTCATTCTAAAACAGGACAAACAGGTCGGATAAAATGGATCGTGATCGAAATTGTCGGGGTGGCGAACATAGTTGCCCAAAAAAATAACTTGATTACTTTACCGTTGAAAAAATGAAAGGCTTGTGCCGAAAGACCACTGAGTCCTCGGCTTGTCGACGTGTAGTTCTCCCTATTCGCTAAAATGCAATTTACGAAGAAGGCGCGCATTAATATTTAGGTGATTCATTTTGTTTGTGACCAGAAAAAAAAAAAAAACAAAAATAAAGAGATTGAGAGAAAATAGAAAGAAAGTTCAGGATAACCTGTTCTGGTTCAGACTCTTTGGCATTCTCCACTTGCCCAACCTTTTCTCCTATCTCCACCACTTCCTTCCAACTCCCTCCCTCATGCGTACGTGAAGCTTCCACCAGAAGAAGTTTCAGCAATCTCCAATTCCATGGCGAAGACCCTAATTTCGTCTCCGACCTTCCTCGGAACGCCACTTCCCGCCCGCTCTCGCCACCATGGACTCCTCCACTCGCTTCCCAGCCGTCGATTCATCTCCACAACAGTAAAGATGAGCCTGCACGACATCCCTCCGGTTCATCTCCCTCTTTCTCATGTTGATTTCAGCTCAATTCTCACCAGAGCCGAGAGCGTTCTGTACACGCTTGCCGACGCCGCGGTGGCAGTTGACGCCGGCGCTGCTTCCAGCTCGACTGATGCTGCTGCCGTTCAGAAGAGCGGCGGTTGGTTCGGGTTTATCTCCGACGCTATGGAATTCGTGCTCAAGGTTAGTCGGGAGGCTAGCTATAACCTGTTTCATTTCCGTGGTTTATTGTTCTGTTCTTATTTTTGTGATTTCCAATTAGAGGAAGCGGGATATAGTGTTATATTGTGGGATTCGACCGAAATTGAATGGAGCCTGTTTAATTTTTCCTCAGATAATGAAGGGCGGGCTCGAGGCCGTCCATGTACCTTACGCTTACGGCTTTGCCATTATATTGTTGACGGTGGTTGTGAAATTGGCGACGCTCCCTTTGACAAAACAGCAGGTGAGTTTTGCAGTTGCCATCGTTTCTCTTCCTAGTCAACAGAATTTCAGAGTTAGTAGCAATAGGTAGTGACGCTTTTGTGTGTTATAGGTGGAATCTACCCTCGCAATGCAAAACCTTCAACCGAAGATAAAAGCGATCCAACAAAGATATGCGGGCAATCAGGTGAGAGACATTTTCTGTTGAAACTGTGTAACCCATAGAGCATGACTTGCCTAAGTATAAATTGGTCTTCTCTTTGGTGTTCTTTGATGTAGGAAAGAATCCAACTTGAGACATCACGTTTATACAGGCAAGCTGGGGTTAATCCGTTAGCAGGTACTGACAGTCAGTTAAATTCTTTCTGTTACTGGACTAGTTTGCTTGTGTTTCCAGACTAGTCAATGGGAATCATGAACCAGGATGTTCAGCTCATTGAAATTCACAAGTGAACTTACTTTTGAACTTATACCAACCATATTCATTTCATCTCCCATTTATGTGGGATTTGGTTCTTCATTACTGTTTAGAATCTCAGCTTTCGTTTTCCCTGGCCTTTTCAACTAATTTCTACTCCTTTTATCGTACATGATGTGCATAAGGGCCAATACATGAGGAATGGTTAATAAGTGTCTGTCTATGTTGCTAAATGGTGCTCTGGAGGAGTTCACTAATGAATTTGTGGATTATATGATGGTTTTGCTATGCTCCAAGTATCTGAGGGCCGAAATATCTTTTCAGGCTGTCTTCCTACTTTGGCTACAATTCCAGTGTGGATAGGTCTGTACCAAGCTCTTTCAAATGTTGCAAATGAGGTACAAAAGGATAGGATAATTTCCCATGCTCTTGAAAATATATCATACTGTATCTAATTATCTATCCAGGATCCTCGATTAACCAATTCTTACTGATAATTACTTTCAATGAAGGGATTGTTGACAGAAGGGTTCCTATGGATTCCTTCTTTAGGTGGGCCAACTACAATTGCAGCTAGACAAAGTGGATCTGGAATTTCTTGGCTCTTCCCATTTGTGGTAATGTAACCTTGTGTTGATGGATATTCATGTGCTATGCGCCAGTACAATAACTGTTTGTTATATTTTCTTGCAATTGACTTTTTTTCGGACCAAGATAATGTGGACGAATAGTTCTCTTGGTCTTCAAAATTATCTGATGGTGTTTATTGCCTGCTTGATTCAAATGATCCTTAGGTAAAATCTATTATAATACATCCACAATTTTGCCATTATTGATGACAATATGTAGATTATGCAGGTAGCAGGGTCTAAATGGCCAGTCATTCGTGCACTAGTCATGTAGTAGTGCTTGAGATAATATTTACTTTATGCAGTTAGCAGGTCCCTCACTGGCAGTCATGCCTCCACCAGTCATATCGAAGTGATTAAAATTCTATGCTAATCATGCAGGATGGACATCCCCCATTGGGCTGGCAAGATACTGCAGCATACTTGGTTTTGCCTGTATTGCTTATTCTATCCCAGTATGTCTCAATGGAGATCATGAAGCCTCCCCAGGTAGCAGATCTCTGTGACAGCCGCATATTTGATGGGGACATAATCAGAATGCCTGTAATTTTTCTCATTGATTTTGACAGACAGATGATCCTGCCCAAAAGAACACGCTTCTGGTCTTCAAATTCCTTCCTCTGATGATTGGATACTTTTCCTTGTCTGTGCCATCAGGCTTAACAATCTATTGGTTCGTTTCTTATCAACCATGGAACTGTTTGATATATGAGTTGTGCTATTTATGTGGCCATTTTTGTGCTTTATCTGTTTCACTTACCTATGCCTCACACGAATCCTGGTTTGAGCAGGTAGAATTTACAGCTTTGACTCTGATTGTTTGCAACTGAGGAACTTTTGCCTCGCTGTTTTACTCTTCAATTTTGGATTAGTAACTATAATCCATTAACAAATTGTGGTTCTGCCTGAATTTTGGGCATAGAGCTGGTAGTCTAGGTAGCTTGCTATTCGGCCTCTCGCGTGAATATTCACAAACCACTAAATAGCAATAACAATAACAATGCCCACCTCTCAATAATGTCTCAGGTTCTTGGTTTCGTAGCAGATTAAGTTTCTGTGTAGCAAGACTGACCATCTTTCTTTGAAAGTCAAATTGATACAACCAAGAGCGGATGAAACCCACCTTCTAAGTTTTGACGAACATAGTTATGTGTCTTTTCTATTGAAATATAATTCGTATTTCCAAGTGCTGTTTTAAGAACCAATATTGGTTTTCCCACACTCATGCAGTAGTAATAGTTATGTGATAATGCTTTGTGACATCACCTTCTTGTTAAATGCTACGTACTCTGTTAGTTTATTTGCTGTACCTTAGTGTTTCTTACATTTTCCGGGTGGATGAATTTCTAAACATGTCGTCCGTTCTGTTAGGTTCACGAACAATGTTCTTAGCACAGCCCAACAGGTATGGTTGCGTCAGTTGGGTGGTGCAAAGCCAGCTGTCAATGCGGATGCCAGTGGAATCATCACTGCAGGACGTGCAAAACGATCAGTTGCACAGCCAGCAGGGCCTGGTGAAAGGTATGTTCTCTACTTCTATGTATTTGCTCTATGGATCCTCTCCGGGATCTAAGAAACAAAAGCCTCGGATTGACAGGTTCAAGCAGCTGAAGAATGAGGAGAAGAAAAGGTTGGGCAAGGCTCTAGCATCAGATGATAGTCAGACTATGGATTCTGCATCTGCTTCGGAAGAAGACTCGGATGATGAAACTAAGGACAAGGTGAATTTTAAACTTCAGCTAATGTCCCCCCAATGAACTTTATTATTATACTTCCTTTTTATCTGAATTCTTGTAAATATAAAATTTGAAAATTATTGGCCTCTGGTAAAGGTTAGAAAATAAGGGTCTGTACTCTGAAGCACAATGCCGTTAGTTTGTGGGTTCCAACATTGAGTGGCTGAGCGACTCTTGAATGGCTAGAAGCTGAGTCGCCTAGCCTTAACGTGTGTGTCCATGACTGATGGTGAACAGGTGTTACTTTATTATGTTAAGGATGTTCAGAACCTCTGAGAGTTCAAAGACAAGTTGTTAGGAGAAACCAAGACATTTTAAGAGGGTTAATGAAAATGGAGAAAACTCAGCCTAAACATCTCTAGATTTGTATAGCAAATTTGCCATACCTTTGTCATAGGGAACTTGGTATTCCCTGAAATACTGCATGATCATTGTGGTTTAGCAAGAATCTAGTAGTGTGAATTAATACATGAAAAGTGTAGAGAATGTAACATAATGGACTCTGTCTCTGGGTAATGTCTTTCAGTTAGAACAGCAAAACTATGCTTCAGAGATCCTACCATGATTTTTCATGGATTACTAATAAACAGTTCTATTTATATGAACCAGCCTATTACATATTTTTAATACCAGAAATATTTTCAACTCTTTGGCAGGGCGAGGAGGTGCTAGAAGAAGCATATGCTTCTAGTGTAGGTAACCAGGTGCCTGATGTTTCACAGCCAAAGAGAAGCAAACGGTCAAAAAGAAAGCGTACTGTTTAAGAAAGATTTAGTTATACCAAGATGATTGTAATGTTTGGTGAGTTCTGTATATCTCAACACAGTTAATTATCAGCTATATAGTGCCATTTTTATGCTGCATCATTCAGTATAACTGTGAATGTTTGAGACTAGGCAGAACCTGTTGGGTCTCTCTTCCTTATGATATTATGATGTAGCATTGCTATGTTATTGCATATAGTTGATATCTTCCAATATTGATTTTTGAAGTAGTTAAAAGGAGGAATCAGCCAGTTGGCAGCAAAGCTGCTACTTGCTTTGATCGCATCATGTTGTTTACTGAGATATTCAAGTGATATTTTAAAATAACAAACCGGTTTATTGCAGCTAACACAGTGTTTCTTGGTAGTAAGGGCCTTTAAGGATACTAGTGCCTCCTTGCTTGTTCCCCTGTACTTACTTTCTCCATTTATCTTAGCCTTCCATTAGGACTTGGTGTTTATTCACTCATTATATATTCTCCACGTAATAACAATGTGTTCCGGTCCCTGAACCTACATGATTAGGGTAAACTGATTCAGCTATTTGACAGTATTCTAGGAAGCAAACTCATTTATGAGTTCTACTTACTTCTCTAGTATGTTTCAACAAACAATCTGGAGCTCAACATTACTTCCTTTGAGGAAGGACATAGAAGCCCACTTATGCTTTGACCCCCTATGAATTCCATTTGTGTTACACCAAATGAAAAACAAGGATTTATGCTGCATCTAGACAAGCCTACATTTTATACATAATTGCTCTGGCATTTCCATATAAATTCCACTAATATACAGGCACAAAACCTAGGCATCAGGACTTGCTGTCTAATGAATCCATCATCTTACACTCTACCTTACAAGAATAGATGCTATGTTTACTTGCTAGGAGAGTGCATCCAGTGATCTATTGCTTTGTGGTTGGACTGTGATTGCCAACTGGGTTAGGCCCGGATGGAGCTTTCCGAACCCTCTTTTCTCCAACCTAGTTTGTGCCATCAGAGATATGTTAGTAAAACTTGTCTGAACATTTATGTGACTTGAGTGTGGTGACTGGATGGCTTACCCTATGCTGTGAGGCTTCCCTTTGCAATCTGGAGCTGGATTGTGCAGGCTTGACTCTAAAGGGGGCTGTGATACAAGATGCAGCACATGAGTAATAGTTAGTACATGTGAGGTGATTTTTGTAGTTAAATTTTGTATTGTCTGGTGACACAGAAGGTGAGGTGATTTTCAGATGAAGCATTTTGCCAGATTTGGCAAGAAAAGAGTGAGAAAGGGTGAAGGGGCTTGCCTGAACCAGTAGCTTGAACCTTGGCAGTGGCGAAGAGACCATGTTGTAAAGCAATGATCAGGAGGCATGGTAAGAGCAGGAATTTGAGAATCTTGCTGCTCATGTTTGCGCCTGAGATGGTGTAAGTTCTGCAATTGAAATGAGAAACTATATATCAAAGCTAGCTTGCAGAAGAATGCAATATGTTGTAGGCACCGTTTTTATCTTAAATTTTTTTTTGGTAATCATAGCAAAACTTGAATATAATGCATAGAATGTTTTGCTAAAAGTGTGCTTGGGAATCCTATGCTTTTATTATTACATGCTGGAGGGCTGAGATTCAAATCTGGATTTGTCTTCATTGTGGGTTGACCTTTACTCAAGTCATAATTACAAGGGTTATCATTCGTTCCATGATTTTAGTTGGGAAAGTACTTGCCCTATTATTTGCTTTTGAATGCTTGAGCCTCTTGGCATGATTGAAGCCAAGGGACCACCTAATTGCATATTTGGCTATCTGACTGAGTCCCTTATCAGAAATGCGGTGTTGTTGTTGTTCTTTTCTGTGCCTGTCGCCGATGTCGGCTCACTCCACAAAAGTTTTACCTGGACATTATCATGAGCCCTCCAGAAAAAATTTGCAGGAGCATGAAGAAGTGAACAGAGAGATTTGTTGGTCTAATCTAACCCACTGCCCCATTTCAGATCTGTAATGCTTGTACACTACTATTCATATGCTTGATTTCTCTCTCTCTCTCTCTCTCTCTCTCTCTCTCTCTCTCTCTCTCTCTCTCTCTCTCTCTCTCTCTCTCTCTCTCTCTCTCTCTCTCTCTCTCTCTCTCTCATTATATGATTGCTCATTTCTGTAACATGTCGATGAGTTTACCAGTGATGAAAGAGCAGTGATTGGCGCAGTCCGAAGCTGTGACAGTTGGCAAAGGTTAGTCAGTCCTTCAACGTGTGCATCTCATCCCATCCTTAGCTTGTGATATCTATTATTGCTTTTCAGAAGATTGCATCAGTTAAACCATAGATCGTAAAATCGTATTGAATTGTACTGAAAAAGTTAATGGTAGAATAATTTGTGCTAAAATCGTGTGGTTCATTCGTTTTATACTGTTAAAGCCCGCCTATCGGTTCATTCCGGTCAGACTGGATTTGCAAACAAGGGAATTACATGATCTAACATGTCTTTCAGGCATCCTAACTACTAGTTAACATGTAGTTTTTGTTTTGTCAATCGGCTTGATTAGGTTAGTCAAAGATTCCGTGGTGGAATGCATATCTTGTAGTTGGCACATGTATATAGTTGACAGATATGTGGAATATTTGGATTCTTCCCTCTATATAATCTCACGTAGCATGAAAGATGTGTCTATTGGAATAATTTGACCCATCAGATCAGAGGAGATTTGGCGTATGGAAATTGGAAAGTAGAGAGAATGTATAGAGCGGGTAGACTAGTAGGAGGATCAGCAAATGTGTGGGAGAAATAGAATAAAGAATTCTTCTCCGTTTTAGTGTGTGGGCTTTTACTGAGTTTTGGTGCTCCACATGGTAGGTTTGGGCTCAGATTTTGGGTGGCCCTTAGTGTGCAACTGTGCATTGTTCATATTCGCATTCACATCTCCAACAATTGCCCCTTCTCTCTCTCTCTCTTTTTTTTTTCTTCTTCTTCTTACAATCACCTGATTGTTACAAGTTTAGATTGGCATAAGGCCCAATACGAGTATCGGCCGTTATTAGATCCACAAGATACACTTGGGCCTTCCTACCCAAACAACAGTTTCATTCCACTTAGTTTGTCGGTATGCCAAGACATGGCCTGGGAGTTCGTAGTTCTTCGGGCAAAGCCCATCTTGAGCTTTCCCATTCCATCTCAAATTACCCCTCCCATCCCATGCATATTCCTTCCTTACCCAAGAAGACAGCATATGAGTTAAGCTTACCCTCTGTTCTCCAAACGAAGGAAAGGGGAGGGGAGGGGACTGGGGAGGGAAAGGGTGGGGGAAAACATACTTTCCCGTAACTTTTCCCCTGTTCTTGAATAGATGTACAGGAAGAAAGGGAAGGAAAAGCACAAGGGAAAAGACACGGTGTAACTGTAGCTCTATCCTCCAATTTGGAGAGAAAAGGTGGGGGCTTCTATATTCTTTTTTTTTTCTTACTCTGCACTACGGGTGGGCATCCGGTTCGGTTTTAACTCTCCGAACCGAACCGAACCGAAACCGAACCGACCGAAACCGAATTTCCCACTGTTCGGATCGGAATTCGGATGGAAAAGGCTCTTAATTCGGAATACAGGGTCTGTCAACCGAACCCGAAAATCCGAGTTCCGAACCGAAAAACCGAAAATTGCAACACATCCAAATTAATCCCACCACTACCTTGGCCCAACGAAAGAATAAAGCTACTGGGTGGGCCAAGCCCAAACCCTTTGCAGCTGCTGTCTTCCAATAGCCCACCCCGAAACCCATACCTCTCAAGTTTCAACAGAAAACCCAATCAAACATAACCCTAAAGCAACCTAATCCCTAATTCCCTATCCCTCCCCACCTCTTGTCCGCCGCTCTCTCTCTCTGTCCCTCACGAGTCACGATTTAGATCCACCACGATTTAGATCAAGGCACATCTGGGCGCTCCTCAGGGCTCAGCGGGGAAACAGACTGGGGTGGGCATCTCGACGGCGGGGGGATCGACAAGGAACGAAGGCGGGATCTGCATGAGCGACGACGGGATCGAGGGCGATATGCTCGGCCTAACGAGCCCCTGCATGCTTCCCCTGCCTTGTCTTTCGCCATTGCTTCCTCTTCTCAAAATGGGTGAGCGGCGGACTTGGCGAGCCGGACTTGGAGAGAAGGTGAACTCGGCGGCGGAGGTAGCTCAGTGCGGCATCGACGGCGGAGTGCTCGACCTAGCTCTGAGCGACGAACTGCTCGCAGAGAGCGGACCGGCGGTGTGTTCTCACCACCTGCAGAGAAAGAGATGGAGAAGTAGAAAATTGGAGAGAGAGACGGAGAGAGAGTAAATGAGAGAACTGGGAGAGAGAGAGAGAGTGGAAGGGGAAAATGAGAGAGATGGAGAGATGGGGTGGGTGGGTGGGACTTGGGTTGGGAAATGGGAGAGAGGAATATAACTCGGGTGTGGAAGGGAGAGGAAGAAAAAAAGAAGGCAGGGGAAGGGTGTGGGAAATTTCGGGTTTGTCGGGATCCCGAACCGAACCGGAATATAACTCGGTTCGGTCAAACCGAACCGAATTATATTTCGGTTCGGGATCGGTTTCAAGTGTAGGGAGTTTGGGGGACCCGGTATACTCAATTTCGGTTCAGTTTCGACCGAACCGAACCGATGCCCACCCCTACTCTGCACAAACTCAAAAGTGAGGATTGTTTTTGAAAAAAAAATGTATTAATTGGATGTTTTTGATGGGCGCCCGTTGCAATGGTCAGGTGGAATCGGTGATTCACATACTCAGGGATTGTCCACCTGCAAGCTTCTTCTGGACTAGGTACGTCCCCAACAATAATCAACAGAGATTTTTTACGGCGACGGCGGAGGGGTGGTTTCGCCTGAATTTAGCCGATGAAGGGGGTGATCTCCAGGGGATTCCATGGTCAACACTGTTCAGCATTGCGGTTTGGTGTATATGGAAAAACAGGAATGAGTTCTGCTTCAAGGGAGTTGCCTTCACTCTCACACCTCCGTCGTTAGCTCACTCTATTATTGCCAAGGCCAAGTTGTGGTACACAGCTTGGACTGCGCCATCCCTGCTGCCCAATTCAAGGAGTAACTCGAACAACAGGGTCTTGGCTAGTATCTCTTGGATTCCCCCACGGGGTGGTTGGATGAAACTTAACATTGACGGTGACTCGAATGGAAATCCCGGGCTGGCCGGCGCGGGGGGATTTTGAGAGACAACACTGGACGATGGATCGCTGGTTTTGTGGCGAAGATTGGAGAAGCTTCAGCAGCCCTTGCCGAGTTATGGGCCTTCCGATATGGTTTGGATTTAGCTTGGAAGTCGGGATGCCGGACTGTGATGGTTGAGTCGGACTCCCAACTTGCAATTCAGTTGATTAATGAGAGGCATGACCCAGTTCATCCTTATGCCACCTTGCTCTCTTCGATTCGTAGGAGGATTAGCAGAGATTGGTTGGTGCGCATTTCTCATGTATACCGTGAAGGGAATAGAGCCGCGGACTGGCTCTCGAAGCACAGTCTCGTCTATCCCTACGGTATACATGAACTTGGGCATCCACCATCGGGTTTGAACACCATTTTAAGGGATGATATGCAGGGGATAGCTTTCCAAAGGCAGATTGTTCCCCCTGCCAACCTGTCTTCCTCTTCCCATCCGCCTCTATAACTTTCTCTTCTTGGCTTTGCCTCCTCTTATGCAAATATATATATATATATATATATATATATATATATATATATATATATATATATATATATGGTGGATTCTATGGTACCCCGGGTGAAATCCAGGGTACCGTATACCTTGAGTATGAAAATACTATCTAGACCTCGAATTAGCAGAATTTTTGGGCTTGATACTATACCCTAACCCTTAATGAGTGAACCCTAGGTCCTAATTATCTAAATCATAAACTATAAACCCTAAGATGAAGCATTCATCTTTTTGCCTATATTTGGACGAATAATAGCCATCGATTCTTGTTTCTAATTAAATTGATCTTGGGGTATAAGATTTAGAGAACTAAGACCTAGATTTTGATCTTTAAGAGTTAGAGTATGACATCATGTCCAAAAGATCAATCAATTCAAGGTTTAGATAGCGTTTTCATACTCAAGGTATGCGGTACCCCGGATTTCACCCTGGGTACCGTAGAACTCACCATATATATATATATATGGTGGCGTCTTCGGTGCACTCACTTTTTTGGGTGCATTCAGTGCACCCGCTTCATAACCGTCATTATAAACATGCAATTTATGTCAAAATGATGTCAAGCATCACTTATGATGTAATGAACAATAACGCACATGAATTTGCACAAAAAATCATTGAAGATTTACTTTAATTTGAAGGATTTAGAGTTTAGAGATTTAGGGTTAGATTTTACAATTTGGAGTTTAGGGATAGAACTCAAAATTGGAGGTCTGGGGCTTAGGGTAATCCGCTAATTAGTTGTTATCATATGTTATATCATCATATTACACTAATTCTACAAATTAAAATTCAAAATCAGACACCTTAAGCATAGTTTTTTAGTTGGGTGCAATGAACGCACTCATTTTTGTGAGTGCACCGAAGTAGTCACCATATATATATATAAGACTATAGAGTTAATGATGATTACTTGATTTGGCTAGTATTTTAATAAATATATTTTTTCTAATATATTTTTTTAAATAGTATCACATTGATTTAAAGAATCTTAATCTTAACTTATATTATTTGGCCTCGTAGGACAAAGAAAACTCCACAATTTTTCATGTCATTTTTATCATTTAACATTTTTAGTTATTGATTACATTAAAATAAAACTAAATAAGCATGTATGTCAATCATCATGACCTAGATTTGAACATGAAAGCTCAAACTATCATCATTTCAAGTGTTCAACCAATAAGATAAAGTATATTAGATGCTATCAATCATATGCTATTAATCACAACAAAACATGTATATCAATCACCATAATTAAGATTTAACATGCAACCTAGGAGCTCAAACAATAAACATTTCAGTTGTTTAACCAATAGAATAAAATCTCTTTGATGCA